CAGCAGTCACATGTACAGCCAGGAGAGGAGGGAAGGCTACATCCGAGCTCAGGTGGTCAGCAGGGAGGTGATGAGTAGAAACAGAAGCAAGAAAGACATGTTCTCTATGGTGTGCAGCAACACCGGTTCGTAGTAGTAAAACCGGTTTTTGTATTTGATGATTTTGTTTTCTAAAGGAATATTAAATTTAATAAATGTGTCAAGATCATTCGTTTCACTATTCTGGATCATTTTCATCCTAATAAATTAACCTGATACATTTACTTTACTTTAAATAAGCTATTTAGTGGTGTTGTAAAAGGAGGAATACTGAATTTTCATAAGATTCTTCAAGTTAAAATTTACCTAGCAAAAATAAAACTTTCAAATCTGAAGATATCACATGATTCTGCACATAGAACTACATCATTAATACCATGGGCCGATTTTTCAAACTAAAAAAAAAATTCGCCTCCAGCATGACACAATCTCTAATATATATATATATATATATATATATATATATATATATATATATATATATATATATATATATATATATATATATATATATATATATATATATATATATACATATATATATATATATATATATATATATATATATATATATATATATATATATATATATATATATATACGCGTAGATCCACGAAAAACGTGGATAAGATAAATCTTGATAAAATCACACGGGAAAGGGAAACAACGGAGCACCTTAGCTTTCGTCTTTATTCAAGACATCTTCAGAGGCAACTGAAGATGCCTCTGAAGATGTCTTGAATAAAGACGAAAGCTAAGGTGCTCCGTTGTTTCCCTTTTCCCGTGTGATTTTATCAATATATATATATATATATATATATATATATATATATATATATATATATATATATATATACCCTTGATAAAAATCACACGGGAAAATGGAAACAACGGAGTACCTTTTTAGCTTTCGTCTTTATCTCAAGACATCTTCAGAGGCAACTAGATTTCATGGACAGAGAGAGAGGCTTAAATACAGGTGACCTAAAAAACATGAGGTCAGGTCATAATGATGACATCCACTAATCCTCACAATTAACACAACCGTATATATATATATATATATATATATATATATATACTGTATATACATATATATATATATATATATATATATATATATATATATATATATATATATATATATATATATATATATATATATATATATATATATATATATATATATATATATATATATATATATATATATATATATATAGCAAAGCACAAAGCAGGGATAGGACACACACTTGTAGTTTTCTCTCATTTATTAACTCTAGAAATCACCCGAGAAGGAAAAGGCTGGGACCTAGATCAGGCATAACTAGTTATTTCACATTATTACGTTATACTTACAAAACAAGTGTCAACTGTTGTCATATTCACATATTTGTAACACACAGTCGTAGGAATTAAACAATAAATAATAAACGCAACCCACCAGCATAACACAGGGGAGTGGCTGTTGTTGTCGACTCACTCCAGGGTGAATATCTGTAGAGCAAAGCTAGAATTAGCCTTATTCTGGCTTACAAACTACCTCCACGAGATCATCACATTCTTCATATAACATTTATTATGCTCAATCTATCAAACACACTCTAACAGAGCAAAAATACGTGGGACACACCTGTCACTGGGCCCATCCGACGCGTCTTTGGGATGTAAACAACGCCATTGCGTCTCCCCCCCCCCCCAACGCTGGGATGCATATTCGTTCTAGCGCGGATTCACAAAATATCTTTACGTTTTTCCCCTCGGAGCTCACAAAAAAACATATCCATATCAATAATATTCTAAATCACCAAATAGTTGTCTCTGGAGTTCCTCATACCACATCTGCCCCCACTTAATCTTATCATGGTCCCCATGATACTGGGTACAGTATATAAGAAAATAAATGACCTAACATTCTGAGGCATTGAGCAGTTGGTAGGAGGAACTTTACAAATTGTACTGTCAGATAGGAACTAACAATGTAAAACTTAAATCTATAGCACTAAAACACTTTGTATTGTCGACTGAGGTAACTTAAACATATTTGAGTGTTTTCCCGCAGTAGCTCTCTTACTTCTACGGACTGCAAGTCCCACCTGAGACTCTTCCTCACTGCTGCTACTACTACTATCTGTTACGGGGTCCAGGTCCTCATTAGAACCTTGTGTGTCTACCTCGTGCCTAGAGCTTTCACCACTGTCAGGACGTGGGTCCCCCACCGGGCAACCCGCATCGTCCTCATCATCACCATCATAGGTGTCTGTCCCATCTGAGCCATCAGCTACCCTTGGGGCTGCCCGCAAATGCATACGGTGTATTACCTTTGAGGCCCCATCTCCTTCCTCAGGAACAATCCTATACACACTTCCCTCCTCATTCAACACATGGGATACCACATATATATCCTCATACCAGTTGTCCTGGATTTTATTCCTTCCCTTTCCATGAAGGTTTCGCACTAATACACGTTGACCAACGTCCAATGCTTTTCCTCTCGCTTTCTTATCATACAGAAGCTTCCTACTAAATGACACTTACTCTCAAAATTACCGTTTGCAACTCTCCAGGCATTCTCTAATACTTCTCTGTGTAGTGTCACCCAATCATCACACGAGTCCTCCTCCTCTGCTTGTGCTAACAACATATCTATCCGAAGCTTGGGATCAGTCCCGAAGATCAAAGTGTGAGGGGAGAACCCAGTGGTTGAGTTAGGAGTCTTATTATAGATTGCAGTTACCATTCCTAGATGCTTTGCCCAATGTTTCTTTTGATTGACTGACAATGTTCGCAACAATTGGTGCATTGTGCGGTGAAACCTCTCGCACTGTCCGTTTCCAGCTGGATGGTATGGAGTAGTCCTAGATTTCTTTATTCCCCAGGTCTTGCACAGGTCTTTCAGTAATGCACTCTGAAATTGGGCTCCCTGATCAGTGTGAATTTTCCCAGGAACATCATATTTGGTAAATATCTCATCAACCAGGATCTTTGCTACAGTCGCTGTCTTCTGATCCCGTGTGGCGAATGCCCAGGTATACTTAGAAAACACATCTGTCACCACCAGCACATTTTCTCTGCCGTCACTTGAAGGTTCTAGCACTGTAAAATCCACCGCCACAATGTCAAAGGGTCTACTGGCTGTCAGTGGCTTCATTTGCATGCGTACCTCTGGGATAACTGCTTTTGCTACAATGCACAGGTGGCAGTCCCTACAGTATTCAAAGATATCCTGATCCATTCTAGTGATCAATCTAGTGGTGCGTTCAATGCCCTGATGACACCATGTCGTCATGCAAAAGTTTCATTACCTCCCCCTTCAAGGTAGTAGGCAAAACTAGTTGTTTTAGCTCCTTCTGGCCTGGCCTTTCCCATTTCCTAAACAGCAATCTGTTACAAATGAGCAATCTCTCTCTCTGTTTCCATAGGCTGTTAAAATCCTGGCCCTTTCTCAGCTGCTGTAATTCACTTTCTCCTAGCTGCCTTTCTAGGCCCTTTCGGCACGATGAAATGTTACTGTCCTGCTCCTGCAATTGCTCCAAACCTTCCTGAGATATGCTGGGAAGCCACATTAACTGTCCAGTCACCTGAGGGCTCTCTGCTCCTTCCTCAGCTGGGCATGGGGTCTCATTATCCTCACCACTAAGGGAACTCTCCTCCCCGAAAGCATCTATGGCCATAGCTTCAACCCTTTCGGAGGAGTCATCTGCCTCAGGTTTTGGCTCATGGCTCTTTCTGGATAATCCATCTGCATTCCCATTGGCTTTCCCTGCCCGATATTCCAGATGATAATCAAACCGGGCTAAATCAGCCACCCATCTCTGTTCTACTGCCCCAGGCTTTGCCTTGTCCAAGTAAGTCAAAGGATTGTTGTCACTTAGGACAGTAAACTTGCTGCCTGCCAGATAGTCTTTGAATTTCTCCGTGATGGCCCACTTCAAAGCTAGCAGCTCTAACTTCATGCTACTGTAATTCTTCATATTTCTCTCCGACCCCTTCAAGCCCCTATTGGCATAGGCAAAAGGGTGTTTTCTGCCCTCTACCTCTTGTGACAAGACAGCTCCTAGCCCCTGAAAACTGGCATCGATCTCTAGGAAAAATGGCTTGCTAAAATAAGCACAAATCAAAATGGGTGCCCTGACTAACTTGCCCTTTAGTTGGTTGAATGCATCGTCATGCACCTGGGCCCACCTCGAGCAGATGGACTGGTTTTGGGGCGGTGGCACCTGAAGTTAAGGCTGTTAATGGGGTAGCTAATTTTGAAAATCCAGGCACAAACCGTCGGTAAAAAGAGGCAAACCCAAGGAAGGAACGTAACTCCTTAATAGTGGTGGGAACCTGCCACTGCTTAACAGCCTCAATCTTACCTTCTGTGACACTACATATCCAAGATAGGCAACCTTCCTCTGAAACAGGTTGCATTTGGATGGTTTCAGTTTCAAGTTATGTCCCTTTAGCCTAGAGAGCACCATTTCCAGCCATTCTATGTGCTCATCAAGTGTCTTTGAGAATATCATGAGGTCATCTAGGTACACCAACAGGGTTGAAAATATCTCACTGCCAAAAATGCTCTCCATGACTCGCTGAAATGTTCCGGGAGCATTACATAATCCCATTGGCATGCGTTTATGCTCAAACAGCCCGAATGGTGTACAGAAAGCAGTCTTTTGGATGTCCTTGTCATCCATCTCTATCTGATAATATCCTGAGGCTAGATCGAATGTTGAAAACCACTTTGCTCCTACCAAAGCATCAAGAGACTCATCAATTCTTGGGAGTGGAAAAGTATCCTTAGGAGTGTCTTTGTTCAGTTTCCTATAGTCGACACACAAACGCAGTGACATATCTCGTTTCTTCACCAGAACAATCGGGGCTGCATATGGACTAGTGCTTTTCTATATGACCCCCTGCTCCAACAGCTGGTTGATATGGTCCCTAACCATTTGGATTTGAGTGGGGGGAATCCGTCTGAAAGGCTGCCTAATGGGAGTCTCATCTACGAGAGGGATGGTATGCTTGATTATCCCAGTGCATCCTAACTTTCCCTTGCTGTCCAGAAAAACATTGCGGTACTTCCGCAACACACTCCAAAGTCTCTCTTGTGTGCTACTGGGTATTTGTTTTAGGTCAATCTTCAGCCCTATTTGCCTTAGATCTTCTGGCATCTGCCCATCAGCTGGACATTCTGTCCCCCATTCAACACTGTTTGAGCTCACCTCTGCTGTTTCTTGTTGAGGACACAGATCGGCCCCACGAGCCACTCCAACATGCCAGTTTCGCTTTAGCCACATGCAAGAATTACCCACATTGGCCACAGTGGCAACCCCTTTACCGTACCTAATGGTAGTGTATGAAGGGATAAGAAGGAGTTTGGGAGGGAGCCACCCTACCCCCGCCTGCATTGGCTCAATCAAGACTTCAAGTTTGGGACATCTCCGTAAGCTTCGGATGTAAATACTGACTGCCTGGCGGCAGTTTGCAGGGATTCTTGTTGGTTTCCACCTAGTAGAGGAGGCAAACCCCACGTGGTCTTTCTGCTGCCATCGATGGATGCTCTCAATCTCTTGGAAGCACTTAGAAAAAAATCTGTTTCCCTTTATAATACTACAGTCAACATATTGGGGACCAAAATCCTTCACTAGAACTTCTCGACATTGTCGAAGTACATTCATCTCTATCAACCCGGGGGCCTGACTAGCAGAGCTCTGCTCCCCCTTCCTCACGAGAACCCCGACCTGCTCTATTTTATATTCAAGAATCTCAACATCCATCAACATGTAGCCCAGGTATGGTATTGACCCACCATTAGCGGCTTTCAACACGAGACCCTACGGGGATTGTAATCCAACTCCCCTAGATTCAAAATATCTACGATAAACTGTCTCTGAGACAAGAGACACCTCACTACCTGAATCCAGAAGAGATGTAACCAAGACTACTCCTATCTTAACTGCAGTGACAGGGGTTTTCCCCACCAGCCTGTCCTTATGCCACTCTCTGTGTGACCAGCCCACTTGTTCTACCCCTACTGGTGGGCTTCCCAAAGCAAGGGTTGGCCATTTCCCTATTCTCTAGCAATTTCCGACACTCCCGTGGTCTTGACTCCATTTCTTGGCTGCTGAGAGGCCCACCTTGGTGGACCTCCTCTACCTCGACCTTGGTTCCGGTGCCAACAGGTGGCCGCCCTGTGCCCCCACTGTCCACATATATAGCACTCTCCCTGGAACGGAAGTGGCCTTCCCTCGTTAAAATGTTTAACTTCCGGTGACCCCTTAATTTGGACTAGGTCTGTCTTCACCGCCTGAATATCTACTCGTAATTCAGCAAGCATCTTCTCCACCCCACTCTCGTGAGGTACACTTCCATGGGAGTTTAATGTTTCTCTCACTTCCTTAACCATGGGCGAACATTCGTTTATAGCTGTAACCACACCCTTAGATGGGTTCTTTTCCTTAATTGTCTGCTTTGTCGTCTTCTTTGACTCTTCTGCAGCTACCTGTACCAATTCCTCATAAGACATTCCAGGCTGGCCACGCAAATACCAACGTAAGCCACTCTGCATCCCTTGATCCCTTAAGCCCTTAAGAAAAACCTCTTTCAAAGTATCCGACCTACTGACGACTTGCGTTGGGGCTACGTTAACTATCTCCTCATGCAGCGTCTCAAGAGCATGTGAATAGGTCCACACATTTTCCAATACACCCTGAGTCCTCTGATAAAGTCTAAAATGGAGTTCCCCCAGCGTCAGGTTTTCTCCATAAGTATCCTTTAAAACTGCGAGAACCCCTTCACTATCACAACTGTCACTCCAAGCCAGTTTTTCTACCCTTTCCTGAGCAGGACCAGTGAGAAATTTAAGAATATAGTTGACTGACCCTCTACCCTTGTAGCCAAGCAACCTTATGTTACGCTTGGCCTCAGCTATCCACTCACCTACATTAATTTGGTCTGAATTATCAGGAGTCCCCGAAAAAGTCCTGAGCTTCATCTCATGGGCTACCACCTGAGGGAAAATATCAACACTGTCCTCTTTGTGCATAGGCTCACACCTCTGTTCAGACTGTGAGACGCCAGTTTCCATCTTAACACTCTTAGTGGGACTGCTCACCCACTGTTCCATCTGGTTTGTGAGTCTTTGCACTTGATTGCATAAGGGTAGGATACTCTGATGACACAATTCACTTATCTCCGAGCTTCTCAAGTCGATCAAATTCTCCTCTGGAGCGTGATGTGGGGATGGGTAACTCATGCTTGGCTGCTTCTAGATTCGTCCTCCTCTGTGTAGGTAACTGCTTCACCAGTCCACGCTCTCTCCTCCGCTGTCGATCCTCAGGAGGCGGTGGTGCGTGCTCCTCCCCAGGTGATTTCGGCTATAGTAACTACTGCCTGGGTGCTGCTTGTTCTTTGCTCTATGAGGGACAATCTCTACTTACTCATGCAAGCAATTGCATACCCCTTATCTCCACCAAGTGTAGCAAAGCACAAAGCAGGTGTTACCGCCACAGTAAGATAAGCTAGAAGAGAGAGAGAAAGAGAGGGATAACCATAATAAGATAAACTAGGCGAGAGAGAGAGAGAGAGAGAGAGAGAGGGGGTGAAATAAGAGATATAGTGTTGACAACGAATTTGCTGACCAATCTGCTGAGGTGTTTCAATACGAAAACATATGGCCCTCGCCTCCGGGCTGAGATTGCCCTCGAGGGTAGTCTACTGATTTCTACGGGACAGACAACACGTTGGTTCAGACCACTAGACCCTAAAACGTGAGTGATCGTGAAGTATTAGAATCTGCTAAGAAACTCTAAATAACTTTAATAAGTATATTTATGTACTGTAATTTGATCATATTATACCAATTGTCTCCTGTATCAATAGTTATAACATGCGAGTTATATTTAAGATGTTAACAGGCTATGTACTGTATATTGATTGTATTATTCATAATATGTGTCCTGAGATAACAGCATTTGTTATATGAGAAATGTTCTTTAACAGGTTTTGACCGAATTATATGATACGCGTCAACGTTGAGGGTTTATTTCTCCAGCAACAAACCAACAACGCTCCTATGAGCGTTAACAGCAGGGATAGGACACACACTTGTAGTTTTCTCTCATTTATTTACTCTAGAAATCTCCCGAGAAGGAAAAGGCTGGGACCTAGATCAGACATAACTAGTTATTACACATTATTACGTTATACTTACAAAACAAGCGTCAACTGTTGTTTTATTCACATATTTGTAACACACAATCGTAGGAATTAAACAATAAATAATAAACCCAACCCACCAGCATAACACAGGGGAGTGGCTGTTGTCGACTCACTCCAGGGTGAATATCTGTAGAGCAAAGCTAGAATTAGCCTTATTCTGGCTTACAGACTACCTCCACGAGATCATCACATTCTTCATATAACATTTATTATGCTCAATCTATCAAACACACTCTAACAGAGCAAGAAACACGTGGAACACACCTGTTACTGGACCCACCCGACGCGTCTTTGGGATGTAAACAACGCCATTGCGTCTCCCCCCCCCCCCAACGCTGGGATGCATATTCGTTCTAGCGCGGATTCACAAAATATCTTTACGTTTTCCCCCTCCGGAGCTTACAAAAATACATATCCATATCAATAATATTCTAAATCACCAAATAGTTGTCTCTGGAGTTCCTCATACCACATCTATATACATATATATATATATATATATATATATATATATATATATATATATATATATATATATATATATATATATATATATATATATATATATATAATGAGAATTAGAAACAAGGTATATATACACACCTCTGTATATATACACCTTATTTTGTACCTTTAGTCTGTACTCTGAAGATGTGAACACCTTATCTCAGCATATACTAGATCACGCACCTACAGTGATTTACTTGCATATATATATATATATATATATATATATATATATATATATATATATATATATATATATATATATATATATATATATATATATCATTAGGCCAATAAAGCACGCGGACTTCTACATACAATCAACACCTCAACCCGCCAGATTCGAACTCACGGCCCACGAGCCCATGACTGTGACCGGGGAATGCTACCTGGTCCAGAGGTAGCTTCAATGCTGTGCCACACATCCTCAGAGGCAAGGCATTTGCCAGGGCTGTCCGTGGGCATCTTCTTGTCAGTGCTGCTATCCACATGCTCCTTGTGCCAAAGGTCTTTAAACTGTGTTACCAAAACAAAGCAGATGTTATAGATGCACCAAATGATGATTCAGTCTCTGTAGATGATGATTTGAGAAGCAGTTCACCTGAGCAAAGCAAGCTCCTCCAGACACACTGAAAAAAGCCCAGAGACTTTATGGTGACCTGATGGTTGGAATAATCACATTGGAATATGTAGAGAAATCGGCCACATTTGAACAGATACAGAATCAGCTTGATATGGCCAAAGAAAAATTAAAAAAATCACGGACCTCCAAGCTTTGGTTACAATACTTAGAAATTATTTCTATTCTCCTAGCATTCAACAGGGCTGAATGCACAGGAAATTGGATACTGCATCTGACCGTGATGCGAAAGATGTTGCCATTCATAGCAGCTTCTGGTCGTAGCCATTACACCAAATCATCTTTATTGTATCTGCAAAATCGATCATCTATAGGAAGAGCATCCAGAAGTCTATCAACATTTCCTACAAGGATTCCATGTGGTCAGAAGATCAGATAGGTTCTGGACTGGGCTATCTCCTGACCTTGTCATAGAACAAGTATTGATGCGAAGCCTCAAGCCAACAGGTGGACCGACTCGTGGGTGAGGTATGGGTGAGACACAACGTCTGGTATGGCTGCTTTCAAACAGCGTTACATCTGAAGTAAACTTAGCAATTCAAGAGATTATTTGCAGTCACCTATGAAAGTAATGACAAGGGATGTGTCTGATACTCACAAGATAGTTAGCTTCTTGACTTCAAGGAATCCCTTCACAGATAATCACGAACTGTACAGTTTGGTTACTGGGGTGTCAGCAGATAGGTCCGTTAATGCTGATCAAGCGTCAGATGTTGGTAATAAAGTCCTTCAAAACATGATTTGGAAAATGTAACACAACACTCTTTCAAACGTAAAGAACAAGTGATCCCTCTCAGCAGCAAGAATGCTGTAAAAAATCAAAAGATGATATCATCATCGATCCCCGGCTCTTGTTCCAAAGACATGTTACTGTAGGCTCACAAATGACAATCTAGCCGAAGCACTTGAATTTGAACTCTGCAGTTATCCACCCGCACTCTTTGAGAACAGGATAACTCCAAGATTCGCAACAAATTCTGCATTGGCTGATGTACTGTGGAAGATGATGCCACCTGATATGCCCACTCCATCAAGTTATGTCCAGTATGTACTGGATGGCGGTGTATTGCTCTGTCATGGTTTTGGTATGAATCCGTGGTAGTAGGAGTAGGAGTGGATTATATTATATAAAGATAATATTATGTCGTATTTCTTATTTCTTACCGTAGAGTTCGATACCTTCACACTGGTTACTTACAGGAGATTATGGCGTATCTACGTAGAAGTTCACTCCACCACTCGACATTCCATGATTTATACTTGATAAATGATGATTTAATGAATTCATTTAATTTTCAACATCCATCTAAGTTATTGGTTATACTATGACATAACCAATCAGTCATTACCTTCAGTAATAATAAGATAGGATCACAGATACGGGCAGATAATTGCACTTACATTTATTTGTCAAACTTCCATACAATGATTTACAATTTGTATGGATATATGGTTCACTCACGTTCACGCTGTAATAAAATTAATCTTCTAAAACAGGGAATTTCCAACTTGGGGACACATGTGATTACTCTACTGTGGTATGACTTAACAGAGCCTTAATTCTTCAAGTGATACATTTACTGCCAGCCTGGATTGCTTTTGTTGCAACCAGGCTTCATCACAAGAACTTCTTCCCACGGCCATAACAACAAAAAGGTACTCTTGGGTTACCACACATAGTCTCGCGTCACTGACAGTCACTGGACGGTTGTCGCGGCAAGTAGAACTGGTAAGCGTGACTTGAATTAACCATTAGGTGCAATAGACCAGCCTGGATTGCTTTTGTCGCAACCAGGCTTCCACACGTGATATTTCCACGGGGATAACAAACCTAGGTTAACACACTTAGTCTCGTGTCGATCACGGTCACGGTAGACGGGTGTCGTGCAGGAGAACTCTGTAAGCGTGAATTAATTAACCATTTACTGTAGGTTTGATAGGCCAGCCTGGATTGCTCTTGTCGCAACCAGGCATCCACACGTGATATTTCCACAGGGATAACAACCTAGGTTAACACGCTTAGTCTCGTGTCGACGACGGTTCACAGGACGGAGTGGCGGTGGAGGACTCTGTGTGGTGTGGTGTCCCGCCCCCTTTCAGGAGGGAGAGGATGGAGACGACGTCTTAACTAACCCATGGCTCAGGGGATACTACTCAAAATGAGGTTTTTGGGTGTGAAGCGATGAACAGTACAACACTGTTTCACTGCCCACCCCCCTAAAGGCTGGCTAACATACACTAATTGAAAAATACATGTCCCAGTTATGCCTCGCCGGGCGTCTTATCTCTGGTAAAACAAACTTTGGAGTTGGTTGCGTGGGTAAGCCTAACGCAACCCATGACATGCTCCATAGATTAATGTGGAGTCAGGGAATGACATATGATGATCTCTGTCAAGCCTGCACATGGTATGTCTCATCTCATTGTGGCAGAGTCATAGTCGTATTTGACGGATATCCTTAGGGACCATCAACTAAAGATGTGACTCATCTAAGACGAGACACGAAGTACGTTGGTGTTAGTGTAAAAGTATGTGGTTTCATGGTGTTCCAAGGGAATAAAGAGGATTTCCTCTACAGTGTAGTCAAAAACAGAACTTCATCTACCTGTTAGCTGATCATTTGACTCAATCAGGTTATTGTGATAAACATGCCAAAGCTGATTCTGTCTTGGTTGTCGTTCAGAATGCCGTTGCTACTGCTCACAAGAATCCTACTAAGTCTACAATCGTGGTTGCTGATGACAGATATTCTAATTGTGTTGTGGTGGCATATGACACCAGGAACTCCATCCATATATTTCAGACCTGAATCTCGTCAAGGCAGCAAGAGAGCCTCAAGATGCTGGAATATGGAAGTAATGCGAACAATGCTTGGTTCAGAAGTCTGTGTTAACATTTTGTTTGTGCATGCTATTCTAGGGTGTGACACCACATCTTCTTTGTATGGTGTGGGCAAGAAGATAGGTCTCAAGTTAATTCACACAACTAAGGTATTCCTAGAGCAAGCACAGGTGTTCTCTAAACGTGACAGTACACAGGCAGATATTATAAAAGCTGGGGAAAGTGCATTAGTTCATATCTACAAAGGTCTCCAAGGTTACACATAGAATTTTCTTAGGTTAGAACAATTCTACCAAAGGCTAGGCAGTAGTACATCATTTGTGCAACTTGAAGGTCTGCCACCTTTATCAGCTGCTGCAGCATATCACGGTTTGCGTGTATATTTTCAAGTTCGTGAGTGGATGGGTAATGCAACTAGTATGTCACCAGAAGATTGGGGATGGTACAGACAAGGTGACAAGTTTCTTCCAGTTCTCACAGACAGACAATCAGGTTTCACATATTTGCTTGAAGCAGTCAGATGTAACTACAAAACTAAATGTAATACTAGACAGTGTACATACTGCAAGAATGGACTCAATTGCTCCACATGCTGTGGCCACTGCAAAGGCGTTTATACTAACATGTCACAGTCAGATGATGAGGATGTTGATGAACGAGTAATCAACTCCTAAGATTTTCTCACTTACTTATGGTATACACGTAATTATTATTATGATTCAATGTCATATAGCAGCCTAATTATCATGTTATGTTACATGATTATGTTCCATACAGTTCATAGTTTTCCACAGTAAGGCATTTTGATATTTTGTTAAGCAAATGACTGAAATTTTTCTTGATTCACAACGCCTGATTCGCAACGAACACTAACACTCCCGCGCGCTCACTCCAATTTGACACAGGTCCGCGGGCGGACAGCGCCCCTGAATGCAATGAACATTAACACTCTCGCCCAATCGTCCGAACTATTTTGCCACAGCTTTTTTTAGTTTAACACATTTGTTGACAAAGCTTGTAGTACAATTTGCCTATTCTGAGTAATTCAGTCAGGTCTTGACACTGAGGGTGGTATCACTTCTCACTGCCACGCAGGACAGAGGTTCACACACAAAGAAATACATCATATTCATTAACAATATATATAGGTCAGATTCGTGTGGGTGATGTCACTGTTCGCTGCCATGCAGGACAGAGGTTCGTACGCAAAGAAATACATCATATTCATTAGCAGTACAGTATATATAGGTCAGAGTCATGTGGATGATGTCACTGTTCACTGCCATGCAAGACAGTACTGCCTATACATTGGAAGTCATATTCTAATTGAAGA